GGGCAAGCTCCTCCCATCACTTCATGTTGTTCGCAATGCAAGGGACGCAAGCCTTGTGTGTTCCCGTGGGCCATGTGGGCAGGGCAGCCTTGTGTACAGCCTGGATTAATTGCTTTGGGGGGTGACATTTCTCTGCGGACCACCAAAATTTTCTTGCAGACCACCAGTGGACCCCGGCCCACTGATTGGCAACCACTGCTATAGAAGAAGGTGAAAACCAAAATGGAATTAGAAAATGTCAGTGTGATTTCCTCCACCCCCCAGTTCTTGTTCAAGAAAGAAACAAGGGAGGAGAGGTAGGTATATAGGAGGTTATAAATTGCCTTGAGGCCATCAATGTGCTTCTTGGTCGTTAAACTAAAAATAAATTGGAACTCCATGCCAAGTTCACATGGAAACTGGCCCAAGTATATCTCAAGGTAACATTACTTAATCATGTGGATGAAGAAAATTGAATAGCATCTTTTCATCGGGGAAGGAAGAGGTGGGGCACATCCTCTTGGGTGATTACTTTGGTTCAATAATGAGTTTCTGCACATGCACAAAGGTTTGTTATATTCAGGTAGCCCACTCTTCTAGTAGTATAGGCATTACAGGTGTCGTTCAGTATTTCTAGCAATTGTGCAATCAGCAGCAAATACAAATACAGAAGAGCATCGGATGCCAGCAGAAGAGAGGTGTGCAGCTATTGACCTCAGAGGGCCAGTGTGTGTGTGTGCGTGTGTGTGTGTGTGTGTGTGTGTGTATGTGTATTTTGCTTCTCAAAATAGGCAAGCCAAGGAGAAAGGTAGAACAAATATAACATAAGAGATAAGGTAACCTTTATTGTCATTTTTTAGTGTGGGCACAGTGACACAGATTCAAAATGAAAATCTGTTGCCTGCTCTCAAAAGAAAGTACATGTCAACCCATACATACACATAACACACAAATACAAATGCTACACAGAGAGAGAACAGAGACAGAGAGAGAGAGACAGAAACAGAGAGACAGAGACAGACATGTTCTGCTTTGGATATGTCAGATAACATTGAAAATTGTGAGAGGTACTTCCTGTCAGGTCCAAGCCAAGGATGACACTGTGAAATCCAATCAAGTTCAATTCTTTATTTGTTTACACCTGCAGACAAATTCCTGTTTTTCCGAAAATGCTGGAAGTGACGAAACGGGGCTAGTTTTCAGCCTGCAGAAGCATGCAGAAACCTTCCTCAAGCATTTGGGAGGCCGAAAAAGGCCTCAAACCCACTGAAAATCAGCTGTGAGGCGCCGTGCAAGTAAGGGGGCAGCAGGGAGTCGGTGGGTGGGTGGGGATTGTGCGCGCATGTGTAGGGGATGTGGTGAGGGGCACACATTGCCTTCTGGGTGCTGGCATGCGAGTGCAAGCATGCAAGCACATGCACAATTTCTGGCACAGGAGCCCCAAAAGGTTAGCCACCACTGTCATGTTGTATCTCTCACAGTAAAAAGCTACAGAGGCAGCAAGTAGGTTACCACAATTCTTCTAAGAATTCATTGACAAAAGATACTGGACCCCAGGTCCATATTCTCTGTCTAAATATAGAAGGTTGAAGCAGAAATAAATACATTTTCTTCTTCCATGCAAAAACAGGAGCACCACACAATCAAGAATGAACAAAAGAGCTAAGGAAGTCTGCCACTGTTGTCGCTTTTGTGAAGCAGAAGGCAACTAACGTCTCTTGCCTCTTGCGCTCTCTCTCACAATCGCTCTGCTGGTTTTCCTTTTGTTTATTTTTTTTGAGGAGGGGAGGGGAGGGAGAAGGGTGATTGGGAACGATTTGGAAAAGCAAAAAGTTTTGCGAAAAGCCAAAATGTTCAATCTGGCCCCGGAGGAGTCCTGCTGCTATTAATCAGTACCTCACTCTCGTTTCAGAATCCTATTCTGTGAAAACTATTATTCGCCCACTGCCAATCTTAACGATGCAACTTCTCACTTGTGTATTTCAGCTCCCCTCCTACATCCCAGCATGAAATGCCATGGCCAGGATGAAAGATGGCTACTTTCCATCAAAGTCTGAAGTGGGTTGGTAAGGCTGGTTTAAAGGCACCGGGGAGCTCTCCTGCGCAATTACAGCCCCATTGTTTTAAATGCGTTAATCAGCGCAATCCTCAGGTGGTTCGTCTGGACTTAAACCCTCAAAGAAGGCCGGAATGCTTTCTCCTGTGCATAAAAGCTATGGAGCCAGAGGCAAAACCTCCTCTCAACGGCAGGATTTTTTTTTTTTTTATCTCTGGCAGTCAAAGATACATTAATAATAATAAATATCAATTCCAAATTTGGAGATGATATGAGTATCATTCCATTCCATGATGATGGAGCTGGTTCTTCTGAGGGAACAAACCTTTGTTCCTCTCTAAATTTCAGGCAGGGGCTCAACAGGTTGAAATTATTTATGGATTGGTTTGATCTGCTTGTATTACTTTAGAAAGAACTCGAGGTGGAGAACACACATATCACAGGAGTTATTCTTCCTCTTATTTTCTCTACAATAGTTCCCTGAGGTGGGTTGTGCTCAACAGTGGGATCCTACCTGTTCCACTACCAGTTCTGTGATCACACGCACACACACACACACACACACACACACACACAGCTTTCTACACACCAGCTGAGGCCTGTAGCATCAATCAGCTGAGAGGATAAAGGAAAAGTGCAGTGGTGGGTAGGAGGGCTGATCCTGCGCTTTTCTGTTCTTTCTCCTCTGCGCTGATTGTCAGAGGCTTTTTCCCCCTCCTCTCGGCAGATTGTTGGAGGATTTTTTTTTTAACAACTGGTTCGGTTGAACCGATCTGAACCGGTCGCACACCACCACTGGTTGGGCTGAAAGAGAATGACTGGCCCAAAGTCACCCAGCCAGCTTTCATGCCTAATGTGGGGGGACTAGAACTCTCCGTCTCCTGGGGATTGGCCCAAAGTCACCCAGCCGGTTTTCATGACTAAAGTGGGACTAGAATTCACAGACTCCTAGTTTCTAGGCCAGCACCCTTGTCAACTGAAAATTCAGGCATAAGGACAGGTAAAATTGGCAAATTGATGGATAACTAACTCTATTATCCAAAGAGAACCACCATGTTGCATGGAAGTATATTACGGAAAAGCGAATGCAAGGAACATACAGTGAGGAAAGCATCCCATTGGGTGGGTTTCCTGGCAGAATCCTGGCCGAGGCATTCATCCTTACAGGTCAGACTTTGTCTGGTGTTATTGTTGCTTAACAATTGTCAGAGTCGGTTCCAAATATAGTATGAATCCCAAAAAGGGCAGTGGTGACGAGCTCCTTTGAAACTCTGCCATTCGAGGAAGTGAAGAATGAACAACTCTCATTTGAACAATCTGTCATAGCGACCAAGCAGAAATAATTATGACACATCACAAAAATCGCACCCAAGTAGAAATATGGTATCCAAGCCAGAAACATTAAGATTGGAAAAAAAAAATGTTCTACTTCAGTGTTTCTCAACCTTGGTCGCTTGAAGATGTAAGGACTTCAACTCCCAGAATTCTCATCCCTGAGGAATTCTAGGAGTTGAAATCCATAAACCCAAGGAATGGGCTGCAAGGGGTTCGCAGGGGTTCGGGGGAGCCTCTAGCTAAAATTCTGAGCAGTTCTGAGAACCCCCAAATCCCACTCCTGGCTGGCCCCGTCCACTCCACCCTGCCCCTCCCATGAGTCCCCACACAGCCCGTTTTGGATGCAGGTAAGTGCGAAATATACACGGAGGCTTGGGGAGGTTGAAAAACGGGCCTCTGAGAAGTTTGGGAAGGCTGGAAATGGGTCTGTTTCCAACTTCCAGAGAGCCTCAGAGCCCAGAGTGGCTGTTTTTGCCCTCCCAGAGGCTCAAGGAAAGCCTCTGGAGTCTGGGGAGAGCAAAAAGCCCCCCCCCCCCACCTTGGTGCAGGAGGCCAACTAGGCCACACCCACCATAGCCACACCCACCCAGAAATCAGGCAGAGAACCCTTTGCTAAAATGTTTGAAGCCCACCTCTGGGTAAATCTTCAAGCGGCCAAGGTTGAGAAACATTGATCTACTTCCTTTCTTTCCTTTTCTAGTTTTCAGTTGAACACACACACAAACACACACATGGGGAGAGAGAGAGAGACTGAGAAAGAAACACACGCTAAAAGCATGCACAAACACATACATGGGGAGAGAGAGAGACTGAGAAAGAAACACACGCTAAAAGCATGCAGCATTAGAAAGCCTTGTCCACTTTTTCTCTCTTAGTCTCGAAGTACGAAACAAGAGGATAAATCATTCTTAGCAAACTTTTGTTACACAGAGTAACTGGGATTTAATCACTCCAAGTACATTCTCTGCATGCAGCATTTAGCCTAATACAGGTTAAAAACAACGGCTGGTTCTCTGCTGACAGCTTTCCTTTCCCCCTTTCACCCCTTATGTTTGAAAACAATTGCAGGAAGTGTGTGCCAACAGAACATTAAATGCCTGAACAGAGTATTTAATGGAAATTATCAGCTCCAGGAGGAGAATGTACATTTTGCAAAAGGGAGTGTGTTTGTGTGTGTGTATTTATGTGTGTGTATGTGTTTAATTGTGTCTTAACTGGGTATGCCATCCAGAGTCACATGCCAGTGAGATGGGTGACCACATAAATTTAATAAATAAATAAAAATTGTTGTTCAGTCTCAAAGTCATATCCGATTCTTTGGGACCTCATGAACTTTAGCCTGCCAGGCCTCCTGTGTGCTCCACTATCTCCCAGAGTTTCATGTTAGTTGCATCGATAATATTATCTAACCAACTCCTCCTCTGCCATTACCTTCTCCTTTCGCCATCTGCCTTTCCCAACACCAGGGTCTTCTCCAAGGAATCCTCTCTTCTCATGTGGTGGGCTTCAGCTTCAGTCTCGGTCAGGGGTGGGATTCAATTTTTTTTACTACCGGTTCTATGGGCGTGTCTTGGTGGGAGTGGCAGTGGAAGGATACTGCAAAATTCCCATTCCCTCCCACTCCACTAACCTGCTTTCCAGCTCCGTTCTCCTGTGCAGGGCAACAAAAGATCAGCTGGGACTCGGGAGGCAGAGAATAGATGGGGGTGGGGGCCAGTCAGAGGTGGTATTTGCCGGTTCTCTGAACTACTCAAAATTTCTGCTACTGGTTCTCCAGAACTGGTCAGAACCTGCTGAACGCCACCTCTAGTCTCGGTCCTTCCAAACAGCAGTCAGTTGTTGCTGCTGTTGTTGTTTTGGCCATGTATATGTACACATTCGAACTAGACTGATGTTTCTCTGTGTTATATATGCGTGTATATGTGGACACATGAATAATGGTTATCCTTTGAGAGCTGAAATGCCACAAAATTTCATTTGAATGTGTGCTGATTAGTCTACATTTAAAGTGACAATAAAGTTCAGTTCTATTTTATTCTGTTCTGTTGTTCTATTCTATTCTACTCTGCTCTGATCTGATCTGATCTTGTCCTGTCATCTCTCCTCTCCTCTCCTCTCCTCTCCTAACCTATCGTATCTTCTATCCTCCCCTCCCTCCCCACTCCTCCCCTACCCTCTGTTCTATCCTATCCTATCTTCTGTTCTATTATATTCTGTCCTGTCCTGTCTTCTATTCTATTCCATTCCATTCTATTATTATCCTATCCTATCCTATCCTATCCTATCCTATCCTATCCTATCCTATTCTACTCTATTCTATTCTATTCTAATTATATTATGTTCTATTCTACCCTATCCTAGCCTCTATCCCTTTCTTTTCTGTTCTGTCCCCTCCTCTTCTTTCCTCTTCTATCTACTATCCTATGCTATCCTCTATCCTATCCTATCCTATCCTATCCTACCCTACCCTACCCTACCCTACCCTACCCTACCCTCTATTCTGCTATGTTCTGTCCTCTCTCCTATCCTTTCCTCTTCTATCTTCTATTGTATCTTATCCTATCCTACAGTCCAAGTCTCACAGCTGTACATTACCACTGGGAAAACTATACATTTGACAAACAAACAGACAGACAAATAAAGTCCTTAAAAACAAACAAAGGTACGTGTGTGTGCATGTGTGCATGTGTGCATGCATGCACATAAAAGAGAGAAAGGCAGAGGGAGGAAGCATCTTCTGGAATTCTTTCCAAAACTTTCATAACAGTCATGTGACCAAGAATAAAGACATTTAGAATGAAAGTGCCAGCAATATTCTGAGCCCCTTCCACCTCTCTCTTCCCTGTAAATACACCGGGGGAAAATTTGTGCGTTTTTATTTGACTGGAGCCCACAGTCAGACTCAGCCACATTTCAAATGTAATTTTGCTATGGGTGAGTTTCTCTTGTCGTGCCAACTTTGCTCTTGTTCTGCAACGGTGGCAAATATCTGTAGCTCGGGTGTAGGATGAGAGTGGAGGTTCATTCTCCAGGCTTGTGGGTTGGTTTCCGAATGTTTTGTTATACGGATAGGTAACATCCTCAGCAGAGTTTAGGGTATGTCATTGTCGGCGTTCTGTTTATAAGAGCTTCGGGTGTGGGTGTGTCAAGGGAGGGTCTTGTGATGGGTCAGGTGTGAGTCATCAATGAGTCTTGTGATGAGTGTTGTGAGGAAGTTACATCAGGTCAGAGTCATTGGGAGGTGAATTGCTGGTGTGTGTGGGGGGGTTGTGTGGGTTGGTTGAGGGTGGGTGCTGTCTCTGATGGGTTGTGCAGTTGATTTGGATCCTGAAGGGTTCCGTAGGCTGGTTGTAGGTCAATGCGTCTGTTGATGGAATTGCTTGTGGAGTGCCAGGCTTCAGTGAACTCAAGAGCGTGGTAGGGACTGGAGGCTAAAACATACGATGGACGGTTGCAGGAACTGGACATGGCTAGTGTAGTGAAGAGAAGGACCAGGGGAGACATGAGAGCATTTTCCAATATTTGAGGGACTACCACAGAGAGGAAGGAGTCAAGCTATTTTTCAAAGCACCTGAAGGCCAAACAAGGAATAATGGATGGAAACTGAACAAGGAGAGATTCAACCTGGAAATAAGGAGAAATTTTCTGACAGTGACAGCAATCAACCCATGGAACAGAAGTTGCTTTCAGAAGTTGTGGGAGCTTCATCGCTGGAGGCTTTCAAGAAGAGACTGGACTGCCATCTGTCAGAAATGGTGCAGGGCCTCCTGCTTGGGCAGGGGGTTGGACTAGATGACCTCCAAGGTCCCTTCCAACTCCGTTAATCTGCTAAGAATTGTGATTTGTTTAATAACCGTGGCAAAAAAAAAGGGTTGTAAAATTGGGCACAACTGACTTAAGAATAACTTGCTTCCTAACTGTAATTCAAGTCCCAATTGTGGCTGTAAGTTAAGGACTACCCATATAGGACGTTGTAAATCTTCTCTTTTTAGAACAGATCTATTTTAACCTAATGCAACAAATCCCTGTTACAGGCATACAAATGTTCCTTTTGTCTGCCTTGAATCTTCCCACACCCTAATCCCTAGCTTCATGTAATGATTCTTGTTTTTATGAGACAGGAAGAAAAACACCCCTGTATATATGTTCTCCAAAAACATTTCAGAATCGGCATTTTGCACATATTTGTAAATTTTATAAACATCTATCATGTCTTCTTTTATTGTGCACAACATTCAAAGTGATACATATCTCTGCTTTTACCTCTATTTATATCTCAGTCTATATTTATCATATTGATTCAGTTGGAGAAATCAATCCAATTCTTCTCAGCCATCCAAACTGAATTATCAGATTGATCTGAATGGATCCATGGAACTGGTTTCCTTTAAAAAAATTCTTGCACCTGCCTATAAATCAGAAATCTTTTGAAAACATTTTGTTCAGAGGTGGCATTCAGCAGATTCTAACCAGTTCTGGAGAACCAGTAGCAGAAATTTTGAGTAGTTCGGAGAACCGGCAAATACCACCTCTGACTAGCCCCGCCCCCATCTATTCTCTGCCTCTCAAGTTCCAGCTGATTGGCTGGGTCTTCTTTTGTTGCCCTGCACAGGAGAACGGAGCTGGAAAGCAGGTTAGTGGGGTGGGGAGAGAATGGAGATTTTGCAGTATCCTTCCCCTGCCATGCCCGCCAAGCCATGCCAACAGAACTGGTAGTAAAAAAATTTGAATCCCACCACTGATTTTGTTCAATTCAACAACTGAAATTGATTTCCCAAATTGACTCAGAGGTTAAATCAAACTTCCTTCAAACTGAATGTTAAATTCAAATATATGCGTTCCTTTCCAAATACTTACATTTTGATGACATGGCTGTTTTTAAAAAATGCAATTAAGCTGCATCACCAGAAGTGTAATTTCCAAATTAGGGGAAAAATAATTTCAATCAATCAAATTCCATAATCCCATCTTAAATTTCTTGTCCAAATTGGACACCATACTTAAAAAAAAAAAGATCCAGAGTATCTGGAAGAGACCTGTATACTGCACGAGTCAAAAAGGGGGCTGTGAAAATATTTACAGACCCCTCACATCCTGGACATAAATTGTTTCAACTTCTACTCTCAAAATGACATTATAGGGCATTGCACACCAGAACAATTAGACCCAAAGACAGTTTTTTCTTGAATGCCATCACTCTGCTAAACAACTAATTCCCACAACACTGCAGAGGTGATATTCAGCAGGTTCTGACCAGTTCTGGAGAACCAGTAGCGGAAATTTTGAGTAGCTCAGAGGACCAGAAAATCCCACCTCTGACTGGAGATTTTACAGTATCCTTCTCCTGCCACGCCCACCAAGCCATGCCCACAGAACCGGTAGTAAAAACATTTGAATCCCACCACTGCAACACTGTCAAACTATTTACTAAGACTGTATTACTATTATTCTTCTCATCCTTCCTATTACCTATCTCCTTTTCTACTCACGGCTATAAATTTGTTGCTTTTATCTTTATGATATACACTGCTCAAAAAAATAAAGGGAACACTTAAACAACACAATGTAACTCCAAGTCAATCATACTTCTGTGAAATCAAACTGTCCACTTAGGTAGTGTAGGTAGCAACCAGTGTAGATAGCAAAACTGATTCACAATCAATTTCACATGCTGTTGTGCAAATGGAATAGACAACAGGTGGAAAGCATAGGCAGTTAGCAAGACATCCCCAATAAAGGAGTGGTTCTGCAGGTGGTGACCACAGACCACTTCTCAGTTCCTATGCTTTCTGGCTGATGGTTTGGTCACTTTTGAATGCTGGTGGTGCTTTCACTCTAGTGGTAGCATGAGACGGAGTCTACAACCCACACAAGTGGCTCAGGTAGTGCAGCTCATCCAGGATGGCACATCAATGCGAACTGTGGCAAGAAGGTTTGCTGTGTCTGTCAGCGTAGTGTCCAGAGCATGGAGGCATTACCAGGAGATAGGCCAGTACATCAGGAGATTTGGAGGGGGCTGTAGGAGGGCAACAACCCAGCATCAGGACCGCTACCTCTGCCTTTGTGCAAGGAGAGACAGGAGGAGCACTTCCAGAGCCCTACAAAATGATCTCCAGCGGGCCAAGTGTGGGAGGAGATCCCTCAGGAGACCATCTGCCACCTCATCAGGAACATGCCCAGGCATTGTAGGGAGGTCATACAGGCATGTGGAGGCCACACACACTACTGAGCCTCATTTTGACTTGTTTGAAGGACATTACATCAAAGTTGGATCAGCCTGTAGTGTTTTTTTTTCCACTTTAATTTTGAGTGTAACTCTAAATCCAGACCTCCATGGGTTGCTAAATTTGATTTCCATTGATAATTTTTGTGTGATTTTGTTGTCAGCACATTCAACTATGTAATGAACAAAGTATTTAATAAGAATATTTCATTCATTCAGACCTAGGATGTCTTATTTTTGTGTTCCCTTTATTTTTTTGAGCAGTGTATATTGTTATAGTTTCCTAGTATGATTTATGTTGATTGCTTATTTAGTATCTTTTGACTATCACTGTGTTGTAACTTATGAATCATGATGAATGTATTTATGACAGCTATGACAATGATTTATCACTTATATCTTTTATGTACATGAGAGTTTATGCACCAAAGACAAATTCCTTGTG